CTTTATTTGAATATTGACGAACAGTCAATATTCACTGAAGTCATTGAAGCTTTTTCGTCCAATGAACATCAATAACAAACGAAATTACTGAAGCTTTCTTTGTCCAACGAGCAATTAATAACAATCGAAATTATTGAAGCTTTCTTTGTTCAGCAATGAACAACAATAATCATTGAAATTATTCAACGAACCAGTTGCACTTGCTTTTACAATAGCTAAATAATTTCTTACAATAGTTATAATAATTTTATATATATAAAAGGATATTTTCGTAAAAAAAAATAGTTAAGAAATCGTAGCAAAATGGCGTAGATTCGATAAGAAGGTTCTCGTAAATTACCTTGTATATGTCGCGCTTGTCGTAAATATCTATCCTATACCTCTCCGATGGCTTCAAACGGCGACCGTCACCGCGCTCCCAGTGAACGGACGGCTCGGGAAAGGCTTCCACCTCGCATTCTAACATCGCCGGGTTTTGGTTTCGTACGATAATTACTTGGTTGCGTATGCGAATAAACGGCGAAACTGGAACGCAATCGATTATCAATTTCACCTACATCCGACATTTCGACCCGGCTCGAATTAGTTCTTTCGGTATGAATTTAATAACATCGGAATCCGCGAAACGCTCATCTCCGTCAGGCCCGACGTGTGGCGCGCACCAAAAGATTTACCCGAGAAAAATATTTTCAGGATCGTACTACAAGTGCATCATGAGTTACTTGATCTGAAGAATATTGTTATCTTGTGTTATATAGAATTCTCTAAAAAGTTCTCCCGTGATAAGACGCATTCTCCTGTATGTGCGCAGCACGTCGAAGTTGATTGACATGGGAAGTCAAAACAAAAGAACGGAAGAACAAAGATATTACTTCGTAATATAAAATTATGAAATGTAATATATATATATATATATATATATATATATATATATATATACCCTTCAGAGAAAATATATCCTTCAGATATTATACTATTATACTTATATATATAATATGTAATATATATAATGTAGTACACACACACACACACACACACATGTATATATGTGTATATATATATATATATACTACATTATATATATATATATATATATATACATATATATATTACATATTACATATATACATTATATATATATTACATATTATATATATATATAAGTATAATAGTAATAATATATAAATAATAATATAAATAATGAACAGAATCGTTAAAAACTACATGCGCCGCGAAATTGCAAATTACCCGAATTGAAATTTAAGTCCTACTTTGGACCTGAACTTTTTAATATCTGAAGGATGTTCCGAAGGATATATTTTCTCTGAAGGGTCGATATATATGTAATACACTAGAAATTGACATATATATGTAATACACTAAAAATTGACATTCTATATAACGCCTTTAAGAATGTCTTATAGTTTCTACAGAGAATCTCTTGGCAAAACTAGTAGCTTAAATAGAAACAAGAGAGTTTGATATAGGCTTCAGAATATTAAAATAAGTGTGTAGGTACTTTAATTTTCTCAGAAGCGGGGCGGGTCTCTCAATGACATTGAAATACACTTACATTTGACTTGGAGCATGATCTTCTTGGACCTGGCTGGTGGTACCCCGTTGTCGGCGTTGCACGCATACTCGCCCATATGATTCCGGTTCACTACGCTGATATTGAACGTGTGGCTCGGTATGGAGCTCACTAAAATCCGTATGGTTTGCAACACCAACAGAGTTATTGGTATCGTCGTCTGCTACTTTTTTCATCGCGAATTAAAAAAAGGGAAATAACTATACCGTGCCAGGCACCCATTGATATGGCGGATCCGTCTGTTTTCGTCCACTGCACGACAGGCTGCGGTTTTCCACTCGTGTCACACCTCAGCCGTATGTTGGTGCCTTCTTGCACGGAAATCACATCACTCCCGTTCGGTGTAATTCCTGAAACGCCCCATTTTCCGACATAGCTTCCTCACAGAAACAAAGAAACATATTGAAAATTTTCGCTTTGTAGATTTGAGTAATACCGTTTTTTCCTCTCATGGAAATTCCTTACACAAAGAATACAGACTGGACGCGAGAGTCGAATCGATCAAGGACTTTTGTTTGTAGTATTGTTTATAGTTTCGGTATTGAAAATGTTTGAGCGCGTGCTATGTGAAGGAGAGGGGGCTCAGTTTGGGTTAAATCAATAGTCCTTACTCAGTATGGATGGCGGGATTAATATCTCATCCATATTGTTCACGTTCCCATAAGCTTGTATACCTGGCGTGCCGTTTCTCCCCGGTGGCCCTTCGCGACCTTGTGGACCTTCGTCTCCTGAAATGTACCAAATATTCGTTTGACGTGTGGATGTAAAGATAGCAAGTGAGAATATCGTGTCTGCGCTCACCTCGTTGTCCTGGTGGTCCTTGCGGCCCCATTTGACCGGATCTTCCTAATTAAATATGAAATCAATGCAAAATAGCCTGTGTCTCGCAAACTAACAAAATTCATGTTTGCGTTGCAAGAATATATATCAAAACTGAAAAAAAGTCGCAATTTTTAAATTGCAAAGTTCTTAATTCGTAATCCTATACGGAAAAACACAACTTTATCAGTGCAACTAAATTTTCTGTTACTTGAGGACCAAATGAAAAATTCGATTGTAGGAACAGTAAAATTCCTGGAGGTTTTTACTCAGTCAATTGCCCTCAGTTATCTCAGCCGAGTTTTAATATCGAGTTGAATTTTCAGACGAATGTTTTCGATCATAGTAACAAAGATATTATTTCTCGTTAGCGGTTTTTTGTCTGGTCCCCATTCAGTTATCCGAACCGAAATTTTTTCCGTGTATAAACCAAACTTGGTTTCTTATTTCACGCTTACATTGTCGAGAGAGAGATGCAAATCGAACAAATTCTTTATACATTTTTCGGATATTTTATGGATTCCTTGTTTCCTGTTTAACCGTCCTTGACATATATCGATCTCCTAAGTTGATAAAGTACAAAATTAATTAATTAAATTTTTTCCCGAAACCATAAACGTTATCGTGTGCGAGCACTTTAACTCTTGTTAAGAAGTTTTTATACGGGAAACATTTTTAATATATTTCATTACCATTATTTAAAAATCATCCTCACAGATCACAAAGCACGATTCTTTTTATACATATATTAAATAGATTACGTGAGTAAAAAAAGATTAAAGGCAAATTTAACTCGAACAAATATATACAGCGCGCAGTGAACCTGTCTGTTATATAATATTTTTTGTTTTCCTCCACTTCCGACGTTTACATCCTTCTTGTAGAAGCTTCGATTACAACACATATTCGCTAAGTAATGTAACAATTCAATTAATGTAATTAAATTTTCCGTTGCCTGGTAAGAATGGAGACCAAATGAAAAACTTGTAGGAACAGAAAGATTTCTATGAAACAGGAAGTTTCTCCGTGATTGTTCTCAGTTAATGCAATAAAATTTTAAGAACTCTAAACATATAGATAAAATTTATCTAGATCAACTTTTTAAACGTTACTATTCTTAAAAATATATATTTTATTTTTTCATTATAATTCTTATTTATAATTTTGTTCAAATTTATTGAACTTTATTGAATTTTATTGAACTTTATTGAAAGATATTAATAGCAAAGATATTAATATTTTCATTTATAATTTTATTCAACTTTATTAAACTGCAAATATATTAATAGATTCATATTCCTTGATATTTTTATATTCATTTAAAAAAGAATTGAATTTTGATCATTTTTCCAGAAGTTATGAGTAAATGAAAATGTGAAGAATTTATTTTATTTAAATTTACCTTAATTTTATGAGTAAAATTTACCCATGTTTAGGGTTTACATAACTTTTTACCTAACTCTGGACATTCTTATTGTTTTGTCCTTTGAATACGAATATTTAAATTTCAGAATAGAATGTATATAGAATGTATATGTATTCTTTTATGCTGAAAATTCAAATGTTCATATTAATAAATATTAAATATCAAAATAATATGAATGTTTAGGATGTCTAGGATGTCTACATGTCTGAATATTGGTATTTTTATTTTAATATAATCGAAAGTTCAGACAAATGTTTTCGGTTGCATTAATCTTTCTGTTCCTACAGCCGAGTTTATCATCTGTTACCAGGCAACAGAAAATTCAATTACACTAATGGAATCGTTTTTCTCCGTATATATGTTACATTGCTCAGCGAATGTGTGTTGTAATCGAAGCTTCTACAAGAAGGATGTAAGCGCAGGAAGTGGAGGAAAGCAGAACACAGATATATCATTATATTATATATCATAATATCATAATATCATTTTTCGACTTCAAATTTTTATTTGGCCTCTTTTAACCCATTAAGACCCAAGAGAAAACCGCTAAGAATAGGCTTTCAAAAACCATCTAAATTAGGGTTAAAATTTGTTAAAAAGTGAAAAAAAAATTTGTGTTGGATTTCAAAATTCAAAATGGCGGACCAATATGTTAGTCCGAAAATTTGAAATTTTGACTTATTTGAGTGAAAATTCGCCCAGACAGCACAAATCTCTTCGGGATGTCCTCAGGATGTCCTGAGGATGTCCCAATGTCCTAAGGACATCCACAGAACGTCCATGGGATATCGTGTGCTGTTTGGGCGTATAGGCGGGGTTTTGGGTTCGCTGAGTATGAATATGCACTTATTTTTTCAAAATTTTTCAAAACGTACTTTCATTGAAATAAATGAAAATTAAAAATTTTTGGCCGCCATATTGATTTTGAAAGTCAAAAAACCATTTTTCTTCTACAGTCTGCTAAAGTATGATGTTTTGCCCCAAAACAAATATCTTCGAAAGCTTATAATTTGGTTGGATTTTTTGCCAAATAACAAAACTATGTCAAATTTTCGCATTTTTGGGTGGCTATATTGGATCCGCCATTACGAATTTTGAAAAAATAAGTGCATACTCATACTCTGCGAACCCCAAACCCCCCCTGTACGAATTTTCACTCAAATAGGTCAAAATTTCAAATTTTCGGGCCGACATATTGGTCCGCCATCTTGAATTTTGAAATCCAACACAAATTTTTTTTCACTTTTTAACAAATTCCGATGTTTTGGCCTAATTTAGATGGTTTTTGAGAGCCTATCCTTAGCGGTTTTCTCTTGGGCCTTAATGGGTTAAATTTCAAGCAAACTGAGATCTTGTTTGTAAAAGTACCGTCCGTTCCGTTTCTTCCAGGCAGTCCGGGCGCTCCGTTGATTCCAGGTTTGCCGTTAGTACCAGGTGTACCGTCCAGACCGCTTCTGCCAGGTATACCATCTAAACCGGGCTCACCCGGTATACCGTCCCTTCCGTCGAAGCCTGGTGGACCGATGTCGCCCTTCGGCCCTCTCACACCTAGATGTCCAGGTGGGCCCTGCGGGCCCTTTGGTCCCATCATTCCTTGAGCCCCTGGTAATCCCGGCTCGCCGGGCGGGCCTGGATTTCCGGGTGCTCCAGGAAGCCCCGGCGGGCAATACTTGGAGGACGATCGGCAGAAGTTCTCGATCGCGTCGAACTGAAATGCAGCGCAGGTAGATGAAATGTTTTGAAGATGAATATGTTCACTTTCGAGTACTCCCGAACATTTGCTCGGCAGAGGATTCTAATCCAATGTAGCTTTATTGTAGCTGAACTGTGAATAGACTAAAACTCGAAAGCCGCTCGAATTATGGATGAATTATTTATAGAACTGTTTACATTATTCAGAGGATCATGTGACTTCAAATTACTGTTTAACAGTAATTCACTGTTTAACACGTTCGCCATCAGCGTCACACATGTGTGATGCACCTAATCTCTCACAAGGGATTAACGTCACATACATGTGACAGCGATAATTTTTCTTTCTATGCTCACGTAAACAAATGGAAACACTATTATACACTATTTTATACTCTATCGACCTCTTTAATTAATCTACAATCTTCTTTAATTAATAACTCAAAAATTTTACGGAAAATGATAGAGGAATGTTGTGTTGAATCTATTGTTGTGTTGACACTTATCATCAAACGCCCTGTATAAAAAGACTAATTAGTACCTAATTAATAATTAGAGCCTACTTAGTACATTATTATAAAAAATAAAAAAATACAGGGTGGTTTATAGAGATAATTTTTCCAACGAAATGTGGTAGCAAACATGTTAAATTACTTTTAACTTATATTATTAATCTTCTCTTGTCCCTCTTCCTTCTCATTTTGCATCTAAATTGCATTTCTGAATAATAGGGATGAGCAAATTTTTCTTCATTTCATCGTTACACAACTTCAACAAAAGTGGTGTTTCAAAAGTATTTTTAATACCTATCTTAGTACATACTTTAGATAATACGTACTTTAGAAAGTATGTACTTTAAAATAGTTGTGTACGCGCGTATACACGAGATGTCCCATGCAGGCGACATCCTACACAGGAGCTCATCGAAGAACTTTGACATCAAACTCGATAAATTCGAGGAGAATGCTAAGAAAGACGTATCACGGATATAATAATAACGATCGCGGAGGGAACTCGCAGAGAGGGACCTCACTTGTATACGTGTGTCGGCGTTCAACCAGACCCAGTCTTGACCTCCGGTCACCGTGGGCGAAGGCGTCTTCTGCGAAGGCGTCTTCTGCGAAGACGCAGAACCGGATATCATGATAGGGGATGCTGTCATCTTCTTTGTGCCCTGCATCTCCTTATCTTCTTGAATCTGCAGCCGAGCGGCCGATGCAATTTCGCGAGATTAGCATCAACGGCAACATTAAGAGATTTAGGGGATCAAAAGTCTTGGGAGACTAAGTCTTCGGCATTAGAAGAAACCTCAAGGTATCGAGGAATTAATTTTTCCTCAACCATAAAATTGAAGTCATTCCTTAATATCTTAATATTTCTATTTTTTCTTATGTAAAATTTTATTCTCTTTCTCTCTCTCTCTCTCTCTCTCTCTGACGTGCGACGCCCCTCGGCTTCTCCTTTCATCCCCCTCTCCTCGCGAAAAAATATAAAAGATATTATAAGTTTCTCGAGCGGTTCCCGACCTTCATCCCGAAGAATAGAATTTCGATTGTGCGCAGAGCAAATGGTCTTGCCTCGATTCCACGAAATTCTAAATCTATTTCTGGCGGTCTTTTTTTAGTCGATTTTCTGGAGCTGGATACTTAGAGTCGATCGACTACTTCGAGTCGCCTCCCCATGTTTATAGTACATGTTTACATACCCTGCTGGATAAATCGGAAACAGCGTTATCCTCGGCTATTGGCAATGCGCTGCTGCGTTTTCGTCGCGGGATCGCCGCGCTCTCGAACGGGTATTGGCTTTTTACCAGGCGCAGATCGCTTTCCACGTTCGTGATGTACTTATACAGATAGACGGACGTGAAAAACTGAATGATAAATTGCAGCAAAATGAGAACGAGCAGCACGCGCGGTTGGAGCATCCAACGCTGCACTAATAATGCACTCTTGCTGTTCATGTCGCCATGTATTTTATCCCTGCGCAAAAAGTCACGTCTAACACAGTCGTTTTATATTTAAATTACGTTCCCTAACTAAAAAAAAAAATAAATAAATAAAAGAAAAATGTAATATAAAAAGAAAACCGGGAAGAGAGGAGACAAGTGAGGATTGAGGAAACGCGCGACCCAAGTATCAATTTTCCGTTTAAAAGTGCGCGACACGGAAAGTGCTCACGTTTTTAAAACTTCAGAGCGCGATTATGGGATTCTTTGGAATAGATTCCGATCAGAGAGAATTATCCCGTTATTCACCCAGACTTTTGTCGTATCTTTTCTGAGGAAAACGAAATCATTCCGGTAGGAACCGAGTTCCATACGATACGTGACCAGACTTCGATCGTACAGATCGCTCGCGTGGCTTGTCCAATATATTATAATCGGTAACAATTGTCCGGGCATCGATAGAAAACAATTGGCACGTCCGACGGATACGTAAACGATAACACTCAACGATATGTTAGCGGGTAAGACGTGTGCGGCGACGGAACGTAACTATTTCAATTGAATATCTCTGCCGCGCCGCGCGGGAGATCGGGGGAGAGCAGAGAGCATAGATCCGTGCTGTCTGATTGCTTACCATCAACTCGAATTGACTCTCTATATTAAACTTCTGTAACGTCCGCGCACTTTGAGTTTCCAGCCGCCCTCTTTCTCCGTTCTCTCGCCGCTCGTTCCGCCGCCGATCGTCGTGATATTACATCGTAATTTTCAGATTGCTTCTTTCTTTCTTTTTTTTTTTTCAAACACAAACTATGTTCCCGGAGCACTCGTCATCGCTGAAGAAGGGAAACTCACGATCGAGCCGTCGCAAGCAAGCGGCTGCGAAAATGTAACTTCACGTGTAACGCGACGCGCTAGACGCGCGCGATTTATTCCGATGCGCGAGCAATCGCGAGCGCGTTAACGATAACACAATTTATAGGGACCTGTGGTTTGCGGTGCCTGTCCTAATGTAAACTAATATAAACTGCGAGAGCCGGGTGCCGTCGGCTCGCCTACGGGACGCATGCGTGAGCATTTCTGTGTTACACACAGCCAATTGTCATACGCACGTGTGTGTGCTCGTGATGGCGGCGACGGCGACGGCGTTGGTGTGGTGTGATGTGCGCGCGAGCGCGGCGCAGTCTCGGCGTTTGTGAATGCACGCTGCTGTATCCGCGTCTCGTTTTGTTTCGCCGCCACTGTTCCAATGTATACTACGGCCGACAACGACGACTACGACGAATACCGGGTGTTAATGGGACGCGTTCCAGTCTCAATTAAAAAAGAAAAATCAATCTCGCGCGCTGTAACAGCTCTTCACTCTGTAACAACGCCTCGTTACTGCTCGCCCGCGGTGCTGAAGTACGGCTCGACGTTGAATCGGAACGTTACAGTCGATTTTCGTTTTCAAACCGTCGCGGAAACGGAAGACGCACAGGAATGCGCTGTGTGAGAAAGAAACATTTAACGAACGAATGGTCTTTGTTAAACAAAATTGCATTGTATGTCTTACATTATAATATATTATCACAGTATGTAAAATAGACTCTTTTGTTCCCGATAAACTCGATATATTACATATGTACAGAGGTTTTAAAAATAAAAAACGTTTGTCCGCTAATCGTGCGAGTCCGCTTGATCGTTGTGGGAATATTGCGCATCTTTTTCGTATAAGGCAATCTGTATACTGTGTTCGAGATCCATATTCCTGATCAGGTTCACTTTCTGTCGCGAAGCCTGCAAACAACGACATGTTCAAATCGGAAAGCGGAATAATCGGGGACGCGGCAATTACGTTCGTTTTAATGAATCACGTCTCACCAGGTCCAGTGACGCCAAAAAGTACCTCGCTACCTCGCTGGCCTCCTCCACTGGTATAATATCGTCGAAATTCATCTGACACTGAGAGTTCGCTTGCAGACACTCTACCACTCGCGATCTGTATTGGCGAATAGAAAACTTTGACCTCCGCTCGGCCGCGCGCAACTTGGGTTGCAGAAATTCGTGCCATTTCTCGATACTTTTCTGAAAGCGCGGATTGCTCCGTTAGGTTTTTGCAGACTTTACTGATTTTTCTCCGTTCCGTTCCGTTGCGCATCAATAGTCTGGACTATTGCTGCCAGTACAACTCGGCTATTTCTACACCTGTATTACTCACTCGGATACTCACATACTTGCAAGTATCATCTAAGCAACCAGATAATTAAAAGTTGCGAGTATGCATTCGTTCGTTATGTTATTGTTAAAAAAACCAATGACTGTAAGCCGATTCTGTAACTTTTTAATATCATCAGTATAATTTTCTATTATGTATTACGCTTACGCAACGACACATAATGATAATGACGCTGTCATTAAAAGTTACAGAATCAGTTAAGAGGCTATTCCATACACATTTACCGACAATTGTCGACTCGGTTTGTGTCGTCGCATAGATATAATCACATCATAAAGTAACTGCGTAACAACACGAGCCGATAGTAGTTAGTACACGTGTACAGAATATAGTCCTTGAAAATGTCAAATTATTTTATGTATTTATTTTTATGTATTAATTTTTGTCACAAGTCGCTCATAATGCACGAACGCAAAATAAAGCTGCCTTTTCTCATAGTTAATACATTTGAGTAATACCCGAAAGACCGGCTACCCGACTAGTTGAAGTTGACAGCACTAGTTTGGGCGCTTACCGGCAAGAGATCGGGCGTGTCTGATTGAAACCAAGAGTCGCAGGAATTTTCGTGCTGCTCAGAACTAAATGGGACAGTGATGGGGCTATAATCAGGTCTAAGCGTATCGTCGTCGAGATCGGTCGAGGTCATCGTCATGTCACCTCTCGCATCATCGTGCATCGAATCACACGCTTCGACAACACGCAATCGGAATCCTAAAAAGTTGGACGCCGCGTCCGTCATATCATCGTATCGTAGGGGATCATACTTCTGTATGTACTTCATACAGGCTTTCAGGTTTTGCTGGAACATGCTCGATCTGTCTGGAAGATAGATACGTCGTTTGGTACGAGCGTCAGCGGATCTGCATCGAATTATTATTTAAAGATGGAGCACGATGAATTTATATACCTGTCCTCTCCGAGGACACTAGTCTCATCAAGATACGCTCCAGATTCTTTTTTTGCAATTCATTCTTCACCGTGCGCCTTTTCCCAAAGAGCTTCTTGACAATTCGACCTTCCTTAGGCTGCAAATAAATAAATGGCTTTGAAATATTAGCAGGCGAGAACACAACGAAGTCGTAATTTCTGTGTTACATACAGTCCTTGGTGTACGTTTTCGGCGTGATTGGCTTTTACGTGTACTGTTCGACGAATTGAACATAAAATCGGCCGCGGGAGAGCTATAAAGTTCGACCATCTCCTCGTTCTCAGAGAAGCTCAACGTTGCGCTCTCATGCGTATTGGATAATTCATTCGACCGGAATCCTAAAAGGTCTGGCTCCACTTTCGTCACATGAACGTATTCTAGAGGATTGTGCTGCTGTATGTACGTTAAGCAGGCATTCGAGTCTGCTTGGAACATGCATGTAGCATGTGAGACTTTTGGACTTTGTGTGTGACTTTTGGACAATTCCGCGTCTCTGTTCACGTCCTCCAACGACGTCGCGTTGTCTATCGACGGGATTCTGAAATAACAATCGTTCTGTAACACGCATCTCGTCGCAATCGACTCTCATGTAACGGACTTATAGCGTTAAATGAGGCCGATGTTGCAAATAGCAAAGATGAAAAACACCTTTCCTGCGAGTTTTTCGACTCGGCTGTATTATCCAACTGATCGTTCTCATCGTGCACATTTTTCTCGATATTATTGTTCGATAACACAATGCTATCAACGGTATTGCTCGGCAAATTCGTATCACTGTGTGACGTACACTGGGATTCGTTTGCACTATCGCTGGAACTCCGGTCAAGCTGATTATCGGTCGTAGAACCGTGCGTCGTATCAGCGATGCTATCATTGCTGCTAGATAAATTTTGGCTCGAGTCCAGAGACTCGATTAAATCGGAGGCCTCTTCCAGCGAGTCATGATCGTTTTTCTCGGACTCCTCGTCGGTACTTAGATTTTTGTCGCTACTGTCGTGAGCAGTGCTTGTGGAATTCTCTCGCACGGAGTCATCAATGCTGGAATCAAAGTCTGTGAACCAAGACAACTCTCATGAAACATTCACGAATACACCATATTCAGACTGAACTTCTCTCGTAACCGATTGCGTACCTTCTGGAGCAAATTCGTCGATCAGCATGCCATTTGTACTCATATTCTGATTGCACCTGTGAAACAATGACATGCAATCACTTGGCTTAGTGCAATAATATTTATGTGCATTCTTGATAAATAAAATGTTATATTTACCGAAAATCATACTTCTTCCCAATGATTTCTCCATTGACATCGTAAATATTAATGGGAATGCTCTGCCCAATACCTTTCTCCAACTGTGTAAAGCAACGTGTTTTCGACTTAACACTTTCCTGCATAACATCCTTCTTAATGTCAATATTTTTGTCGATTACGTCAGCAAAATTAATTACCCCAAAGTTTTCAAAACTTATATCAAGATTTCTATCCTTTTTCTTACCTAATTTACTTTTTTCATCTTCTTTTCTAAGACAGTGAGGCAGGAATAATTCAACAATATTGATTGTTCAATTGCTTACTTTAAAGTACTGCAATGAAATGCTTACTTGTAATCAATAACAATGTCTCTAATCACTGCAGTTTTATCCCAGAGATAATTGAGCCTGTGCACGTACACAGCTGTAGAATTTTGCAAAACAAGTCCAGCGTTGCTGAAACCCTTATTGGATGTATCATTGAATAAGGAATAATATGCTTGCAGAGCCTGCAATAATATAAAATATTATTTTATCATGTAAGACACTTTACTGTTATACTATCTAAAATATTGACACTTCATGAGTATACTTCTGAAAAAGGATAGGTCCAATCCGCCAGGTGTTTTGCTGGCTTTGTAAGCTCCAAACTAATATCTTCTATGGTAACCATCTTTACTGTCTGATGAGCGTGACGATAATCTGCACAAGAAAACATGGTCAGGAATTAGAAAAACACTATTTACATTAACGCCATAAGAACGAAGATACAATCAGTTCGTGAAAAAGAATATTCATTGACGAAATACTTGTTGCGAAGGCAAGTGAGTATTCCGTGGAAATAATACGAACAAAGTAGAATTTTATGACGTTTTAGTGATAATGTTTTATCTCATTATTAACATGATATCTCGAGACGCACGCTTCAATGTTGAAACACATGTTGATCACGAAAAAGAGGATAAAAATAATAATACCAACATTCTGCATTCTATTTAATACGTTTTACCTTTTCAAGAGTTTCCCGCCTATTTAAAACATTGTCGTTCCACATGTACTGTTTTGCAAAACAATTCTTTAACCTAACAACGGTGCCTGTGCTTTATCCGCGCCATAGATCACAATGCTACGCGGACGTAATGCTCATGATTTGGCGGTTACTTCGTTTTGAAGCGCCTCTATGTGCGCGAACATGAAGCTTCAACTATACATCTGGGCCCTTAAGACTGATTTATGATGGCCGTAATCCGTTAATTTATGCCGGAACCATACAAAATTGACCAATCATAGTCGAATTATAAGAATAATCTATGTCTATACTAAACTTAGAGCATATATATATATATATATATATGTATATATATATATATATATATATATATATATATGGAGAGGGAATGCTGACACGAAAGTGTATCCAAAATGTGTGCGAGAAAGAAAACTATACGTTTTATTTGTCCTCTGTGCGCATGCGTTGAAGTTAGGTTAGGTTAGGTTAAGTTAGGTTATAGAGTTGACAGGAGATGTTATTTTCTTCTTATAGAGCTCTGAGAGTTTTTTCAGAATTTTGTATTAACTTTCTAGTACTTCAAGAAAATTCAAGAAAACGCAAAAAAATGCAGTACTAAAAAGTTAATATAAAATTCTGAAAAAATTCTCCGAGTTCTATGAGAAGAAAATAAACAATTTTTATCTCTTACTATTTTTCGGTAAAGTTGATAGAATTTAAGTAAAAAAATATTAAAACCAATAATTTTGTAGTCCAGCAACAACTGACGCATATTGGCGCATGCCCACAGAGGAAGAATAGGAATGTATATCTTTCTCTCTCGCACAGATCTTGGATACAATGGCTACGTTTAGAAAACATAGCTGATCAGTGAGCGGTCAGTAATTATTGGTCCTTACTGTTAGATCCCTAACTTTAGACCAATTACGTTGAGTAATTACTCAACTGTTGTGCAACAGTTGTGTCTTCTGAACGCACCCACTTTTGGTCTACAGGAGGCATACGCAATTCCCCCTTCATATATATATGCTCTAAGATACTAAACTAGATTGTTAACTGAGACTTCGAACTTGCGTCACATGAGGTTTCCGGTTGTATGCGAGAAAATGACGGCGATCCTGTGTGTGCACTAAATATATACTACCTGGAACACGCGCTGTCTCTTGAGACGTGCGGAATGAGAGAGAGAGGTTCCTTGTTTTCTCTCTTATCCTTGTCTGGTTCATAGTATAATCGAGAGTGGGAAGAATGTGATACAATCCAAGTTAAAAGTTAATATGAAAAGATAATATGAAAGAGATAATATGAAAAGCAGTGATCACACTGAATGGCAATAACTTAAGTTTATGAATGAAAGTTTAAGATATAAAAAATATATATTTTTTTTTTCATTTATTAGTATTTATTTATCAACTTATTATTAAGAAAAACAAAGCAAAAATGGTTTCTAATTCGGAGATTCAGCTTATGTTTAGAAATCAGCCGATTTAGCTTTTGGTTCAGACTGTACTAGACAAAGACAGAGCGTTGTTTAGACCTACAAGCATGCTCTCTCTCATCCCGCTATACTCAAGAGGTAGCGCGCGTTCCAGGTAGTATATATTTCAGTGTGTGTGTGTGACGCTGTGTATGTGACGTGTCACTTGTGTCAGTACTTACAACGTACAATGTGAGTCAGCGTGGCCATTAAATTACTGTTGTAAAACCAAAAATGCCAGCATCTTATTGCATCAAAAAATGTCGTAACAAAAGAATAAATGGTATTGGACGTTATTTACTCTGCTCATTTTCAACAAAAGAATTTTATGACTAAACGTAGTGAAAATATGTGGCAGTAGCGGCCATTTTCTCGCATGTACCGGAAACTCTATCGGACGCAAGCCGTTATATGTTTTTAGATAGCCTGTTAGCAATTTAGTATAGACATCTGTGGCCAGAGCTAGGCGTTAGAGACCCTTGAATCAAGGTGCGAACCCATGCAGCGGAATAGCGGAGCGCGGAACAAGAGCGGAACCAATCACGAACGTTCCGCAGTTTTCGTTGCATGGATCCCTAAGGGACGCCGCACACGAATTGACATAACAGTAACGTAAGACGTACCGTAAGAATTGACCAATCACTTTGAGTATCGTCGAATCGTAAGGTCGCCATTTTTGTGAATATTCGATTGTAATTGATCCATTTTTACGGTACGTCTTACGTTACTGTTATGTCAATTCGTGTACGGCGCCCCTAAGTACCCATGGAGCGGAATGAGTAGCACGTAACTAAAATGACTTTTAAATTAATGTTTCATTACTCGTTTTTATTATTATGTACATAAATATTTAATTAAATGTGTTTTGTATTCTAAATATTGAAAATGTATTCTAATGATTGAAAATGTTAAAATCTATAAAATACGTTTTAAAGCGGTTGTAACTTTATGAAATAATTTCGCGAGTGGTTGAGCAAAATCCGCGATGTGCTTATTCCGCTCCATGGGGACTTAAGAACTTTTGTTTCAATGCTAAAAAATACGGATTTGTACATATATATTACGCATCCATTGTTAAATTCATGGCAAAGCGGTTATTTTGTGCTGAATATTAATAAACTTGGCCAGCTGGATGTTTGTTCTTCTTAATTTGAGGTTATATAAGCCCACGTCTATTGTATGATAGAAGTATGCATATATTACGCAGTCTGCGACAAACTATTCCGTAGATTCCACTAAAAACTGCTGAAAAACGCGGACGCTCGTGATTGGTTCCACTCTCGTTCCGCGCTCCGCTATTCCGCTGCATGGGTTTGCATCCTCAGGCTTCTCTCTGGTGTTACTAGATCGCGTGTGGATCAGCACAGAAGCATGCATCGTGTGACTTTAGGCACGGACATTCGAGTACGGAACATTCAAGCCTGATGGGATGTTGACGCAGTTCTTGAATGGGGTTGGTGAGTAACGCAGGCGGTTACAAGAACATGACTTCGCGTCTCGTTTCAAGAACGTTCTGATGCAAAAACGTTCCTTTTATCGAGATGTTTGGCGTAAATTAATATTTTATCCGCTCCTTCTTTTACATAGCATGCAGGGGTATCGTGTTAAAAGCATTTTCTATATCTTGCGGAAAAAAACCCAAGAGTAACTTATAGATGGGACTATATTTATAAAAGCGATTGTACGACACAACGTGGGTTTATTCTAAAGTGTTCTCTTAAGTGAACGAGATTCGGTAGCCTTTTAGTAGAGAAGACGACGGAACGCACCAGCTCGGGGGGTGTACACGATAAGGGTAGTGGGTCATAAGGTTGAGCGACGCGGCGCGCGTGCGCGCGCACGGCCGAGAGCGCCGAACCGTGCGTGCGAGCGAGCGAGCGCGTTGTATTTCCCCGAGTGGTGGTTCTCCGTTTTAGGCACGATAGTCTAACGGCGGCCGCGGTACTGTCAACGTCTTGCAGTAACTCGCACCTGATCTCGGACTAGGCCAAGGCCTCCCGGTCCCTTCCCGTCTCACGCACTTTTCTATTCACGTTTCTCATTCTCTTGCTCTTCTCTTTCTCTCTCTTTTCTTCTTCTCCTTTTTTTCTTTTCCTTTTTTTCCCCTCCTGACCACTTTCATCCGTCTCTCTTCTTCCCTTCTTTCAGTTCTTTCTCTCTCTTTCCCTCCCATTCGCGGTACCGCCTGTCTTTCGTTCGCGCTGCCGTGCATGCCGCGTTTCCTCCGCGTTTCTCTCTCTCTTCGCGCTGCATTTCGTACACGCGACACGCGCGCACGGCAAACGCACACGCGTACAAACGCGCGTGACTGACAGACAGAGAGGGAAGGAGAGAGAGAGAAAGAGAGACAGACCGTCGTCTCTGTCGCGCGGTAATACATACACACGTACACGTACATACGCGTAAGTGCGCGCGCACACCGCGGCCAGCAACGGCCAGCAGCGAAACCCGGAGTACAATCCTCGTCGTCGTGTGTCGTCGCGGTCGCGGTCGCGGTCGCGGTCGTCGTCATCGTCGTCGTGCTAGTCTTCGTCGTCGCTATTTCCGTTCAACGTTGTCGATGCGCGGATGCCGTCGCCGCGGCTCGCTGGTCGCCATCAGCGATAACTCGCGCCACTACCGCGAGCTACCAGGTAGCAGCAGTGCCTGTCATTGCTATGCCTACGCGATAAAAGCCTGTATGAAAGAAGGCATCAAGAAAGGAAGAGACTGCCCCGCTGCGCCGAGAATCGTCGTCGCGTCTTCGCCGTCGCTGTCACCGTCGCCGCCGCCGCTGCCGCCACCACCGCCGGCGCAGTCGATACCAGTAGGGTGGGAGAGAGGATCGACGGGACCACGAGGGATTGTGCTCCGCGACAGTCCCGCGCTCTCGGTACGGCTCGGTGGCATCCCCTGGAGTAGGAACCTGCGCGCGTACGTACGTACCGTGCGTGCGTGCATGCGTGCGTGCGTACGTACGTTCGTTCATTCGTTCGTTCGTTCGTTCGTGCGGTCGGTCGGTCGGTCGATTGGAGTTGGGGTGATTGGTCGACCGGTCGGTTCGGCGCCGTATAGTTCGAGTAAATAATCGTCAGCACCAAGCGCGTGCGTGCGTGCATCCTTCTCTCGGCTTCCTCGCCCTCATCTCGCGCGCACATTATTACTTTTTCTCTCTCTCTCTCTCTCTCTCTCTCTCTTCCAAAGTTTTCCTCTCTCGCTCTTATTGTCAGATACGCGTGCCATTTTTTCTCTCTAGTTCTACCCTTTTTGCTCCCTTCTTACTGCCTCCGCCCTCGACGTTCCGGCTCCGTACATCGAATCGCCATCGGCGCGCCATCCCTCGCCATCATCATCCAGCGCGGTGGCGGTGGAGGCGGCGGCGGCGGTGGTGGTAACGGTGGCGGCGGCAGTGGCGACAAACGGCGGTGAGCGGCGGTACAGTGCCACCTCCTCGATTCTAGGGAATCGAGCGGTTGGTGGTCGGTCGCGGAGCGCGGTGCGCGATAGTGTCCGAAAGCGCGGATAAATGTGTCGGCCGCGTTACAAGACGTGAAGTGCGAGCGAGCGAGCGAGCGAACGAAAGGGGGAGAGAGAGAGAGAAAGAGTGTGCATGTGTGTGTGAGAGAGAGAGAGTGAGCGGGAGAAAAAGAAGGGGAGGAAGAGAGGGCGAGCGAGCGCGCGCGGGGGCAGCAGAGGAGCGCACGACGAGCGAGCGAGTTTATTTTTAGTGGCAGAAGGTGAAGAAGGCGGGCGAAGAGCACCGCGCGGAGTGGTATTAAGCGGCAACACAGTGGCCCGATGAAGCGGCGTATGTGACATCGGATTTCCTCTCTCTTGCCACCGAGGAGAAGACACCTCGCAGACATCTTGTTGCCACCGTCCACCACGGTGAGTAGTATGTCGTCGTCACACACCGCTACCACCCCCATTCTCCTTCTCGCCCTCGCCCCCGCCGTTCCTGTCCCTCATCAGGGATTGATTCGCCATTCCGCCCACCAGGACACGAGCCTCCACTATCTCCACCTCTTCCTCCTACTCCGTCTCTCCTCTTTTCCCCTCGTCCCTCTCAACCCCCTCTCTTTCTATCTCTCTCTCTTTCTCTCTCACTCTCTCTTTCTTTAGGTATATTTCTGCTGTACACCTCAGTCTCCATTTAGCTATACTTATTTCTTTTTTTCCTCTCTTCTTCTCCTTATCCCCTCTTTTGCTCTCTATCACCCCCGTGCCATTTATCCACCCATCCATTTATCTATCCACGCGCACACACATACGCGACACGCATGTACCCTCCTGGCCGTGTCGATCGCGTTCTCTCTCTCTCTCTTCCTCTCGCTCTTCCTTTCTCCCTCCCGCTACTCTTTCTCTCTCTCTCTCTCTCTCTCTCTCTCTCTCTCTCTCTTCCTTTGCACGAAGCGCTACGGGGTAGCTCCTCGTCGTCCATCGTCCACTCCCATCCCCACCAGCCTGCTCTCGCCTCGGTCTCCGCTCCGCGGAGTAACGAAAATTATGTAACGCGCGCTCAATCCGGGCGGTTCTTGTTCCGCTCCTTTCTCATCTTCCTCCTCTGGATATCAGCCTAGTCCTCCTCCCCCCGCTGTTCCTCACTCGTGCTGCCGTTCTTCCGAACATTATTTCGGGAGTGCCAGCAGACCTGCCAGACCCTGAGAGAGCGACGAAGACGGAGAAAGAGGGGAGAGAGAGACTCCTACATGACGTGCCCCGGGATCGGGCAAGCGCATTGTCGAGGAACCGTTTCGATTAGGGATGTAAACCGGTCGGTCGGTCGGTTGTGTCAGGATGGGAGATGCCTAGCGATGCCGAATCCACCGCGAAATTTCCACGGTCTCTCACATCCCCTGCCGACCCCATTTAGCCTGACATTTCGGCCGCGCTATGTGTCGCGCGAGTTTCTGCACGAAGCGTCGTTGCCCAGCTAAATGCCAGTCCTCGAACTCACTGCGATTTCCGTGAGATTTTTCTGTGCCCAGAGACGCGGGATGTCTCCCTTCCTTCCGCAGACCTATTTTGTCACTCTCGATAACAGTGTCGTTATCGTTGCGATGTCGCCGCGCAGCTTTTCCACCGTACATTACACCTGCGCGACGATAACGATAACGGCACTGTCGTTAAAACTTGCAGAATGAGTCTACTGGTACGCTTCGCCCCCGAAAGCTCCACTTTACGCGCCGGGAATGTCCACCTGACAATGGGTAAAAAGGAGCGAGAGCGCGAGAGGAAGAGGGAGAAGAGTAGAGAGAGCGAGAGTCACGCTACAATCGATTCTATAATCGATCGGAGCTGTACACATGCGACAACACGACTTATTTCGCGGTCCAATTACTCGCCCTATGATTTCCTGCACGGCGGGTGCACGACACCGACACTTTGCCACGAATGATATTTACACAGAGTGTTCGCGCACGAGGTCGATTTATTCTACCGACTGTTATTACACATTTAACGTTTGTCGGCGAAAGTGTTTCGTGAAATTCGCGGCGATCATTGGCCTTGCGATGGCGGCGCTGCGGCGATCGAAAGTACAATCCGATCAGAGGGTAAAGCACGAATTCTCTCCGGCACGAGGAAATAGTCAGGCCGATTACCTCTCGTTAGCGCGGCGCGTTAGAGAGCGGTCTGACTATTATTAATTTACAAGCGCGTTCGTTTTCTCTACAACTTCGCGTCGCGTGCATGCCTATAGAGTCTCTGGTTGACTTCCGGCGGCGACCGCCAAAGATAATCATCCCCCAGCGAGGCACTTCTTCCAGTAGAAGGCGGGGGAGAGTCTCTTTTCGCCGCCTCGCTGTGCCTCGCCTAGCCTAGCCTAGCCTAGCCTAGCCTTGTCTCTCGTCTCGCTAACGACGGTGCGGACGTATGTACTCACCGGCTGCTTCTGGTCAGCTCGACTGTAATACGCGTGAGGCACAGTCGAAGACTCGCCTTTGTCCCGCTTTCGTGGTATCGACCCGATACGGGTGACCTAGACTCACTTGCGAGGAAATATACCCAACCTTTGACAGCCGCTCGCTCGCTACGACGAAACTGGCCCGAATCGATAGAGGGTCGCTAATAATTACGCACGTGCGAACCCTCGCGCACACGACGGCGACGGCGTCAACGACGTCGACGACGACGACGACGACGACGACGACGACGACGACGACGACGACGACGACGACGACGACGACGAAAGCGCACGACCGGGTGAAATAGTGCGTTTGGATAGGAAACAGTCATCAAAGTTATTTCGGTGCTCCCGACGACGGTCGGAATTTGGTATTGAACCGCGCGCGCACTCTTTATCTCTCCTCTCACACGTCGGCCGCCGCGATTTAGCGTGTCGGAGGAATTTAGCGGCCGTTTATTTGTCCGCCCGTCGCGAGGCGTCAAAATGTTGTTGCACGCTCGCTGCTGATGAAACTTGGGCATCGAATGTCTCGTCGTTGCGACGCGCGCGACATGATTTCTCTTGAGCAAAATGGATCTTTGAAAGGGAGAGTATGTGTGTGTGTGCGTGTGTGTGTGTGTGTGTGTGTGTGTGTATGTGTGCGCGTGGCGCGTGTCCCGTCAAGTAAAATTAAAACTCGCAGAGGCGGGCGACAGTCAAAGCGAAAATGCCAGCGGTTACAGATAGGTGGCTTAAGGGTTTCCCAAGCTACTCGCGCCGCGCGAAATGCCGGATTATCTGGACAAAAGTGGAGATTTGCATATCGCGATGAATAGTGGAAAAGGTTTATTCGCTGAGCCGCGCGCATTTGCTAATTATTTTCTAGCGATTCCTCGACGTTGCGTCGGGAGTCTCTCGCGGTTTTGCGCGGACTCTCTCTCTTGAATCCTCTCGATAGTCGTAGGCCAGCAAATCTGCTCTGCGACTTTTCTCATCCTTATGATATCATTCTGGATCGTAGTCTTCCTGTGTGTGTGTGTGTGTGTGTGTATTGTAGACAATTACGTTCCATCTCGAATGGAACCAAGTAGAGGGATAAAAGCTTCTCGCGACGAAATAATATTTACTCACGCGCACCAAGATGTTTCAGTGGCTGAAACACATTTTCCGCAAGATAATACCGGCAAGATGATATTCCACGGGCAAGTGACTGTCGTTCAGACCCAATATTAGACAGTGTGCTCTCACACGGCGTACACATTTTGTCAAATCGTTGTCAAATCTAAGAAAGAAGGAGAGAGAGTGAGAGAGAGAGAGAGCCAAAGAGAAAAGAAGAAGAATGCGAGGCGAGAACGATTTTTGCCGGGACGCACGCCAAGACACACGGAGATCGATCAAGAGTTAATAACGTTGGCGGGACAACAACGACTGCCGTCGAGTATCTCCGGCTCGTTTATAGGGTGTGTAGAATCGCGAATATGAAGACGCACTAAATCGTTAGACGCGACGCCCCGTGTATCTCGTTCCCGGGGCATAGAAAGCCGAGGAGCGTAGCGCTGCAAGTAGAAATAGATAGTCGCTGTCAGACGCGCGCCTCGTGGAAGTAACGGAGAGCGGCGGGGGATGGGCCGTGCTTGATCGATTATTCGACGTCGGACGCTTCTCTTCCGTTTGGAAACCGATTACCTTCACCCCGCTGTCTTCGTGCTCGATTAATAGGCTTTTTTAAATATACATATAATATATAATGCAGGGGCCGCGTGAGGTACACAGCGCGCATTACACGCGGTTAACCTTCCGACGTTTGCCGGAACCTTGTTAGAACGGGAATAGAGCTTTCTCATATATATGGCGAGAGCGGATTTCACAGTAGAAACTGCTTTTGCACTTTGTGACCGAGCGACAGATCGAGATTCTGCAGTAATTCACTCTGTCTTCTCATATGTACCACTTGTATATTTTAGGGATTGAAATGCGCTACTAAAACTACACTTGCCGTGTTTCCGGCGAAATCTGCTACGTCTTTAACGAAATTTACTATGTTCCTTGGCAAGATAAACCCTTAATTACGGTTTATTGCTGGACTAAAAACATATAATAAAATTAAATAGAATCTTTATGTGAAAAAAAAAAGTATAATCTTCTCTTTATATATACGACGTCTTGAGAGTGGAAAATTCGATCTGGTTTTTCAATGTCAGTTTAAATTTAGATTTATATTCAAATTCTGTTGTGTAACAAAGTGTGTGATGTATGTTTGAGTAGACTTCAAATTCAGGTGTGCGTTAAATCTTAAATGCACACCGTGTATAGGAGAAAAAATATCTAAAACATAAGAAATATTTATACAATACGTGCTAGTAACATATTTACTTAAATCTTAAATTTCAATTTCAAATCTTAAAACTTAAATCTAAATTCTCTTATTTAAACAGAATATACAATTGCTTTCATGAAAAAAGCCAAAATGCTTTAAGAAAAATATATTTCCTTATTTGAAAAACACTTTATGTTATCTATTTGAAAAATACTTTATGTTAAGTGAATATGTTATCGGTGCCGTGCAATAAATGTTTCTTAGATATTTTTGCTCTCAGCGTAGCAATATGCTTCACGCGTTCAAACAGAATTTCGATTTAGATTTGAGTCTAAACAACCGCTGGAAAATCGGCCTTACACCGAACATCGGATTGCCTTGACGTATCGATATTTATTATTAATCGACGAGCGATACTCCGGAAGTATTTTGCGGTACGCTTCTCCGGTTGATTGTGGGATTAAGAGGGATTCCATTCGCGTCGCTGATCGCGGGACTACGGCAGATGATCGAGGCTTTTATCGAAATATAGGATAATTCCGTTACTCACGCGCGCATCCCGCGGTATCGCCCGCATTTTTTTGCGACTGGATGTTCATATCAGTCCGGAGACGATTCGCGCGCGCATTTCCGACGCGGCCGCGCGAGATATGCTTCTATACTCGCGTGTATCGCAGGAACCAG